AAGGAGCCATTGAACAACTCTCTGCATGAACATTTAGTATGCGCGAAAGTTCCCGGAAAACTTATCAAGTTTCACCATTACTTGAAACACAACTCCCAAACTATTGCACTTATGTAAAAACTGATTACAGATTTGGAATCAGGAGGAAAAACTGCATCAGTGGTCCAATTTCTGAAGCTCTAAGTTGAATAACAAAAAAAAAGTGCTTTCGAGGAGCGTCTCCCCTTAACCCACTTCCTAGAAAGTAACAGTATACTAGACCCCCTTCAGTGTGGTTTCAGAGAGGGGAGGTCGACAATAGACCACCTTGTTCGCATAGAGACATACATCAGAGATGCATTTATTCATAGGCAGTTTGTACTTTCGGTATTCTTAGACCTGGAGAAAGCGTACGATACCACATGGCGATTCGGGATTCTACGCGATCTTGCCGCCATGGGCATCCATGGGAACATGCTAAACACAATTAAAAGTTATCTGTCTCACCGAACCTTTCGCGTAAAAGTGGGAAATGCTCTCTCTAGATCATTTACCCAAGAAACTGGTGTTCCGCAAGGGAGCGTGCTTAGTTGCACACTCTTTCCTGTAAAAATGAGCTCCCTGCAGTCAGTCATTCCAAGCGCGATGTTGATGATGTGCAGATGAGTTTCAAATCATGCAATATGTCTATCTGCGAACGACAAGTGCTGCTTGGGATGAATAAATTCTCTAAATGGGCTGATGAGAATGGTTTTAAAATAAACACCCAGAAAAGTACTTGCATACTCTTCTCCAACAAACGAGGGGTAATGCCACTTCCAAATATTACGATCAAGGGAGACCAACTCTCTGTGAGCAGCGAGCATAAATTCCTAGGAACCACTTTAGATTCTAAGCTCACGTTTATTCCCCATATTAAACATGTAAAAATGAAATGTCTGAAAGCGATGAACCTCCTAAAGCTCCTATCACGTACAACATGGGGTAGTGATCGGAAGTGTCTCTTAAACTTGTACAAAAGCCTTGTTTGGTCACGCCTTGATTATGCCTCTATAATTTATCATTCCGCAACGCCAAGTGCTTTGAAAATCCTAGACCCCGTTCACCATCTGGGTATCCGACTGGCAACCGGTGCTTTCAAGACAAGTCCGATCCAGAGTCTCTATGTAGAGTCGAATCAGTGGTCACATCACCTACAGTGATCCTATAGCAGTTTCACTTATTTCATAAAGGTACGTGCAAACATAAAGCATCCTTCTTATTCAGCTATAAACGATATGAACGCTGCCACCCTCTACCATAATCGACCCACAGCGAGAAAGCCGTTCTCTTTGCGTGTGAGAAGCTTAAGTGAGGAAATGGGTGTTCCGCTGCTAAAACTTTGTCCTATGCCCACAACAAAACATTTACCGCCTTGGCAGTGGCAGCTCATACATTGTGACACTTCCTTTGCCGAGATCACTAAACATGCACCAGAAGCACATATTAAAATGCATTTCCGACAACTTCAATCCAACTACTCATGCGTAGAGTTTTATACTGATGCTTCTAAGTCGCATGCAGGGGTGACTTATGCAGCCGTCGGACCATCCTTCTCGGAATCCGGTGTACTGGACCCGGAAACAAGTATATTTACGGCTGAGGGTTATGCACTATTGTCGGCTGTGAAGCATATACGGAAATCGAGCATACAAAAATCAGTTATATTTACAGACTCATTAAGCATCGTAAATGCATTAAGATCACTTTTTAGATTCAGAAATCTGGTAATAATTGAGTTGTATTCCGTCCTGTGTACTGCGTATATGTCCAACCAGCATGTTACTATCTGCTGGATACCTGGCCATAGAAGCATCGAGGGCAATGTGTTAGCTGACCAAATGGCCACCTCAATCATATTGCGCGCTATTAACCCTACCGCTCCTGTCCCTGCAACAGACCTAAAACCCTTCATACGTCAGAAACTGCGAAACCACTGGCAACGCTTGTGGGACACAGAAATAAATAATAAGCTTCACTTGATTAAGCCGCGGTTGGGTTACTGGCCCTCCGCTACAAGAACACGGCGAACTGATGTCCTATTCTGTCGCCTCAGAATAGGACACACTTATGGCACCCATAGCTTTCTGCTGACTGGCGATGAACCTCCTACTTGTGGTAGATGTGGTGAGAGGCTAACCGTCCTCCACGTCCTCCTGGAGTGTCCTCAAGCTGAAAGTGAGAGAAAGAAATATTTTGCTTTAGCATACCGCTATAATCTTCCTCTACACACGATTATGTTTCTCGGTGAAGAGCCGCTCTTTGATGCAAAATCAGTTTTAAGCTTTTTAAAGGATGTAGTATTGAATGTTTTTAGCCCAACATTGAATGTTTTTAGCCCAACAGGTTCATAGTGCATCCTCTGTTCAGAGGATGCCGCTGTGATAGCAGCTTTTAATGAGCCCAGACCTCCATGCTCTTGTTTTAAGGGCTCTGTCGAGGCACTGGTGCTCCATGCCAAGTTTTTATTTCGCATACATATCACTTTTAAACCATTTTATGTTTCCATAGCACACATCATTTGTCATTGCCATAATTTTACTATCTATATATATTTTTACGCACCTACAGCGACTGTTTTTAGGCCCATTTACAGCCACGTCACATCTGTTTTATCTACACTGCACATCGCACAGTTCATTATCATCGCTCTGGCGCTCTTTGGCCACATCTGGCCCTTGCGCCAATAAACTCCACTAATCATCATCATGGTCCGCACTGACGAACTCGTCGAATGTCGATCCGTCGATAGCACCCGGGAACTCTGCCAGCTCATTCCAAACTTCGGCGGAAACACTTGCGGTGTCTTCAGTGCTGTCAGAATTTGGGCTGTCATCACCAAACTTCGGCGGAAACACCTGCGGTGTCTTCAGTGCTGTCAGAATTTGGGCTGTCATCACCAGGCATGTGGAAGTCGGCATGCCTAAAGCAGTTCTGGATCGTCTCCTTCTTGACATATGCCCACGATCTACTCAACATAGAAATAGCTCTTAGCAAGTCGATCTTAAGCTCCCTGGCGACACGAAGGTTCTGCTGCAGCCTCTTCACCAGGCGCTTCCGATAGCTGGCTTTCATTGCGCGTATAACGCTTTGACCCAGTGGTTGCAGTACAGACGTAGTGTTCAGGGACAAAAACGCAGGTCTATGTTGCTGAATGTCGTACTGCAGTGGTGCGATGGACAATTGTCCAAGAGCAGGCACACCTTGCGATTTTTGCCTACCAAATCATCATTCCACGACGATAGCCATCTGCTGAAAAGCTCCCCGGTCATCCACGCTTTTGAGTTTGCTCGGTAAGTAACTGGAAGCGACAGCGCATTTCAAAAACACTGCGGTGCCGTGCTTTTCCCGATAACCAGAGGTTGAAGCTTTTTTGATCCGTCTAAATTAGCTGCCCACAGCACGGACACACGAGTTTTGTTTGTTTGCCTTGCCACCGCTTGTCTTGTCGCCACGACACACAAGTGTCTTGTTTGGTAACATTTGCCAAAATAGAGTGGTTTCATCTGCATTGGAGATATCTTGGGCTCTATATCTTGCTGTGATAACTCGCCAGTTTTCCTCTAGCTATTTTTCTACGCTGTCCAGGTCCGCCGCTCTGCTTTCAACTGTAACAGCTTTGCCAACGATGTCGTGCCGTTCTTTGAACCGCTGAAGCCAGCCTGAACTGTCTTGGAAATCATTCCTGCCAAGCAGAAAAGCAAGGTTCTTAACTTTCTGCTCGATCATAGGGTCGGACACCGGGATGTTTCGAGACCAAACGTCCACAAACCACTTGTAAATGGCAGCTTCAACATCTTCGTACACAGCAGCGCGCACATGTCGGTGTCTTGGTGACTTGGCCCTGATGTCTGCCTTGTTCTTCAGGATAGTACTCAAGGTGCTCCTTGGAATTTTGTTCGCGGCAGCGACTTCTTTTCACCGCGCTTAACCCGGTTGATGATTCCGAATTTGGCGGCGAACGGCAAATTTTACCTTTTTGCGCAAGCCATGATGACAGCGCACCAATACAGTTCACTGCGCACCAACAGGCAACACCACAGACCACGCTGAATCGGCAGCAGGAGAAGGCATACAAGCATAAAGAAAGAAAAAATGGCACTCACTTTTACCGCCTCCGTACCTCGGAGAAAGCACGACGGCTTCTGATTGGCTGTAAGCGCTGGGAGCGGGCCAGGACCATTTCTTGGAGGGGGGTGTTCGCACGCGCACAACCGGGTCTAACCAACTTTTTCTAGGGTGGCGCCGGCAGTTTTCCCCGCCACCGCGAGGGAAGACCAACTTGCTGGGGCACTTTTGAGGCACATGGAGTTTGGTATATCAGTTGTCGTTGCTATTTTCGTTCGATAAAACAGTATCTTTTGCTATATATTCTCAATGTAAACTTACCGTGTTTAGGAATTGTTCGATATACGGGATAATTTGATATAAACGGTTTCGATATAGTCGGACTCGACTGTACATACTCTTTGAAAAGTTTGTTTATTGTAAGTAAAATAGACAGTGCACTCATTGAGGTAGAATCGTTATTCTTCACAGTACTCTGGACAAACTGTTATAAAAATAGGTAGTGATAAATTTAACATTTTAATGTAAAGCATGCAAAGCCCGATATTCTACATGTGTTCTACTTCAGTTCAATTTCACTGGCCAGGACTCTCCTGTGGTCAGACTTTTATGCTTCTGCAACATGGTTAACACCAAGTTTTGCATAATACTTTGACCCTAAATCGGAAGCTTGGCAATATCATGTGCACATCCCATTCATATGGTATTCATGTTACAGACGCATCATTTGAAGTTTCTCATCTGTATCGAGGGATATTTCCGCATATTTGGGAGGCTGAAACCCAAAAATGCTCAAGTTTTATCTTACGATTTGGTTCCTGGTGCCCAGTGTTACACATTTTTTCATAAATATATCATTAAGTCATCAATAGCGTTCTCATGCTCATATGAGGGCCTCTAATGCTGTCTTTCAGAAGGCCGTACATCCTAATCCTGGACTCTCTTCGCGGAGGCCTGTGTGGTAGGGCCCGCATCATAACAACACTTCGAGAGTGAGTTTTGCTCTTTTGTTGCTCCTCTGCTGAAGTCATTGGCAGAGCTTCAGATGAGATTTAGAGTGTTTGAACCTCTCTGGAATTTTGTTTTTTATGTAGTGCACACATGCAATCACAGATGCACAAACAACATGCCTTCCCTCTTTTTGCGAAATGATATTCTGGTTACACACATGACTTAAGTGCCATTTTGTGGTGTCTTAACCAGAGTAGCAGCAACAAGTGATTGAATCAACCACCGTGGAGTTTTTGCCACTGAACACGGCTGGTGCTTTGCAGCCCATAGAGGAGGGCATCATTACAAACTTTAAAGTTAATTACCGCTTGCGCTTCCTGAATTGTGTGCTCTTGTGTGTCGACAGTGGCAAGACCTACAAGTGTTCAAGATTGGGTAAGTTGGTTCGTCGTACTTGAACTAATGTAGGTCATTGCAGTTAAAAACAAATGATCAAGCAGACACGAGAAGACTGCGCTCTGTCCTTTCGTGTCGGTCTGCTTGGCTGTTTCTTATTGACCGCAATGCGCTATATCAGTTCAGGCAAGACCCTTGTCCTGAACGTGTTGTCCGCCATCAGCATCTTGTCCAAGGCCTGGAAGGCAGCGACTCAGGATATGATGCGCAGCTGCCTTTGCCGCACAGGATTTGTCAACGGCGAGAGGTGGGGATAAGCACAGTGCCACGACCCTGGACTCCGATGCCGAGAGCCTGCATGCCGTAGCAGCAGACATTTTGGATGACTTTTGTTCTAGTGGGATTGATGGGGGGCAATCGCATTTGAGGCATGTCTTCTATGCTGAGTTGGATGAGAAGGAGATTGTCAGGTCCTCGAGGTGTTGTGGTAGACAGTGACTGCGACAACAGCGTGCCACCCTCACCACAGCCATCAAATATGGATTTGGCGCAGGCTCTAATAGTGCTATTGTCCATACACAGCAATGGCTGCACACTGGCCGAGATACAGGCTGACTTGGTCACGCACAGGTGTGCATGCGTGTGTGCACACACACAGACAAGTTTTCGGGCCATTGAGCTAATAAAGTGTGTGTGCGTGCCCCTCCTGGGTAATTTTTTTTTCTTTCATATTCTTTTTCTTTCTAGGCTTTTTATCATTCCGAATGAGCGGTTGGTGATTGATACTGAGGCACACATATTTATTCGAATACAGTAATGCCTCGTTATCGCGAACTCGCATATCTTGAAAAATCGGCTAAGTCGAAATTGTCCGTGCCGCGGAACCTTCTTTGTTATGTCCCACCTATTTTTTCCCCTTTACCTCAAAGTATTTCTGGATCGCATTGCGGATATCTCTAAAACTTGAGTGGGAGTGGAACGAAAATTCCGTCACCAGGTCATTACACAAGATTCGCGCGGTGCTGCAACGCCTGAAATCCATCAATTTTTTACTTTTTATTTCTTATTAGTCGCACCTGCCGCTATGTCGATACTTTTCGCCAACGTGAAGTTTGAGCCTAGCAGCATATCAACTTTGTCGAGCAACCCTGTGGCACGTTGTGCGACTCCCACGCAGTAGGCCTTGGTGTTTGCCCCACGCTTGGCGTGGTTGGCGTAGTCACGTCGTTTTTCTCGTTCGTTTGGCAGTACTTGTTGTTTTTCTAAGCTGTGATTTTCGTTCAGGCTAGTCTGCGCAACGCACGCGGCACAGACTTAACGCTGACTTTGAGGAATGGCAATTTAGCGTGAGTGTGGCAAGCATGGCGTCACAAAAGCAGTGCAAGTTGCTAATGCTAGAAAGGAAGGTTGCCCTAATTAAGAAAGTGGAGAAAGGAGGCCGAACGAAGTCAACCATTGCGCAGAAGTTTGGCATCCCGTTGTCTATATTTTCGACAGTGCTGAAGAACAAGCAGAAGATGCTTGATGGATATCAGCAGAACTTCTCCAGCCAGCAGAAGCGGAGTCGAGGCTTGAGGTTCCCGGACGTTGAAGTGGCATTGATGGTGTTGCTGCGAAATTCCAGAGCAGCCAACCTTCCCATCACCACAGCATTGATGATGGAGACGGCAGACGCTCTGGCCTTGCAAATAGGGCACACAGAATGTGGCAGTGACCGGCGAAGTGACGGACGCCGACATCGCTCAAACGCCGGGAGACAAAGCCAATAACGAACCATCTCGAGAGGGGCCGACATCTGCAGAAACAAGAAATTTGCTGCATTTGTTTCGAAATAAGGTGGAGTGCAGCGGCGGGGAATATCGTCTGATGCGATGCGTGAAGCAGCTGGAGGACGCCTTCCTAGGCTTGAGCACGCCCTCAAAGCAAACAAGCATTAGGGAGTTTTTCTCCGCTAAATAAAGTGGCAGTGCTGCAAAATCCAGCTGGTTAACGTCTCTTGTGTGATTTTTTTTTTCTCTTAAACTTTCACGAGCAGAAACATTAGAAACTGCTGCTGAAGAGCCAGTAAGTAGTGGTGATTTTGCTAAAAAGTGTGCTCGATTTTTTCCCGGTGATTTGCGCAACTTCGCTTATCTCAAAAATCCGCTTATCTTGAAATTTTTTTTGGTTTTTACAACTTCGAGTTAACAAAGTATTACTGTAGCTGCGTAAGATAGTGTAAAAGCCGCATGAGCCAACTTGGCATTTAAAACATATATCCAACCTAAACTAAGCGTGAGGAATTAAGAAACCGCGGAAATGGTGTGGGCCCGTGTACTCAGATTTGGGCGCACGTTAAAGAACCCCAGGTGGTCGAAATTTCCGGAGCCCTCCACTACGGCGTCTCTCATAATCATCAGTGGTTTTGGGACGTTAAACCCCCCATATCAATCAATCAATCAAGGAATTAAGAAACCGGTGCAGTGCTAACTGTACTACTAAGAGCTCTCTGTGACATTAGGCAACAAGCAGGGACGCATATACAGTTGAACTCCGCTACAACAAACGGCACTTATGCGAAATTTTCGCTACAACGAAAAATTCACGATTCCCCATCAGCAGTTCATAGGAGTCAATGCATAAATATTGTCGCCACAACAAACACTTTTTCTTCAATCGTCCCGCTTCAATAAAATTTTACGATGCAATTCCAGAAAAATTCACGATTCGCCATCAGCAGTCCATAGGAGTCAATGCATAAATATTGTCGCCACAATGAACACTTTTTCTTCAATCGTCCCGCTTCAATAAAGTTTTACGATGCAAAAAAAAAATTCCAGGCTCACATACTTATTACTGTGCAGTAAACCCAATCTTTATCATTTCGAAGCATTTTCAGAGTCTGGAAATACGACAGCAAAGTCTAAAACACGTGTTGGCACCACCAGAAACCGCTGCTGTTCAGTAAGCATGAGTGCCGCCAGTGCTCAATAACGGTGGCAATGAGACTGTCCTGCTTTTGTTTTGCCACTGGCTTGCTTTTGAACCGCAGACGATCCGAAGCTGAAGTTCAGTCGCTCAGTTCGTGGCTTCCTTCTTTTCGGATTCTGATGCTTATCATTATTTTGCTTATCATTAGTGTATTAGCTAATCAGATTGGCTGTTCATCCCCATTATCAAAAAAGTCAGCTAGCCCCGAGTGATCGATGATAAGAATGGCATATAATAATGCAAAAGTGGCCGCTCCACAATACCCTGCCTCCATCTCGGCGTTGTCGGATACTTTTGGCAGCAGACAGGTGCTGGTGTTAACGTGTTGATGCTACTGTTTGGTTCGTTAATGCTACTGTTTGGTTCGTTCACGAAAGCGGTTTTAGGCGGTGTTTCAGCGTGCTTTTCACCATGGCCTCACTATGCGTGAGGGAGAATCGCGTCGTGACGCTGCTGGGAAAGAATAAGAAGTAGCAGACTTTTGAGAATAAACGTTCCTTTGTTTTGCTAGCGCACATCAGCTATATTTTTGTCGATTTCACAATGAAATTTTCGCTTCAACATAATTTTGTCCGCGCCCGGTCAGTTTCGTTGTAGCAAGGTTCGACTGTACAAAAGAGGCCATGTCTGCCCCAGGTACCTGACCGAGGAGTGGAAGGCCAAGAAGCGTACCCAGCTGAACTTCTCCCACAACAACATGTGCGGCTACGCCCCGCGCACACCACAACAGGGCAACTACAGCGACTGTGGCATCTACCTGCTGCAGTACGTCGAGAGCTTCCTTGAGGTGAGTCTTCTGGCAGGACATTTTGCTTTGCTGCTTAGGGAATGTTGGGCTTGATGCTATACCATGATTTAACTTCTTAGCATTGGCGATTTCCTGTGGAACATCATTGCTGCAGTGGCCTAGCGGTTGCAATGCTCAGCTGCCGACCCAAAGGCAGAGAGAGGGTTTGGTCCAAGCTGTGGTGGTCACATTTTGATGAAGACAAACTAAAGGCGCATGTTCTGCGTAATGTCAGTGCACGTTAAAAAAAAAAAAAACACCAGATGGTTGAAATTCTCATAGCCCTCTGCTATGACATCTCTCATAATCATATTAATAAGAACTGACAATGATGCCGCCGCAGTGGCAGTAGGCAGCACTGATGGACGCTGCCACGTTTAAGAGATAGGGAGAGAAGAAATGGAGCGGGAATTTAAATGCACGTTTAAATCCACCCCATAAAGTTTACAGGGATATGACCTCCTCCGTAGCTCAGTTGTGGATTATCGGACATTTCATTCGAAGGTAACTGGTTCGGATTCTGCTGGGGGCAAGCTATTTTTGCGTTTGCTTTTCTTTCATCTCATTTGGATTACCATTACTTCTAATCACATCCTCTGTACTTTTCTTGGCATCATTGTGTGTTCTCATTAATATTGCGCCTAACAAAGAAAATCGAGCCTTTAAAGGGCCAGTAAACAACCCCAGCATCCAAAAATTGTTGTAAAGTGAAATATGTGCCCTTTTACTTCGTGAACATACCGCTGCTAAAATTTTGCGAATATATGTTTTATTAAGGAAGTTACAGGGGCTAGAACATCGCGTCCAGCTAGTTTCAAATTTTGCGCGGCCTTGCCACCCTTCTTCTTCAAAGGGAAGGGAAGGCGCGCCCTGTCGTAGTCACTCTGCCCACTTCGGCAATGTGACAAGATGTCAGCGATTGACGTCATCGGCGAACTCGATCAGTCGCAACGCACTTCTACTTGCTGCGAGACCTGGTTGTCTGTTTTCCAGGTGCCAATGCTTGTCCGCAGCCCAGTCGCGTGATTTGCAGCCGACAACGATTTGCAGCAAAACTGTGTACCAAATCCCAGACATGAAGTTGGCCTGATTTTTCTCGAGTTTGATTTTTTGGGAATAGACTGTCACGCCATCTGTGAGCAGCAACAGAAAACAAAAATAATGCGCTTTATAGTGGGTGTGCTGATCAACAGGTGGCGCGACAATTTGCTCACTCCCCAATACTGGGTCGGTGAAGTGTCCGATTTCGTATGATTTATTCGAATAGCTCTGTCGTAGCTGTGGGTGGAAACAGGAACTGACGTTGACTTCACTACTATTTGTTGAGACCTGGTCTAGACCAATTGACGAGCTGCGTGCTGTGTCTCGTCGCCGATCGTCAAGCTGTCGTCACTGCGCGTGCAAGGAGCATTAGTCAGGCGTAGGGAAGGAGAAGGAGCGCGGGAATTGTTTTTCGAAATAATGGCTCTGCGTGGCGTGCAGCTCTGTGATACAGTTAAACCCCTTTATAAGAGGCATGCTCTGGGCAGCAGTTTTATATGAGATGCCTCTTATAAGCTGGGTGCTATGTATGCATTTTCCTATCAGGCCATGTCACTGTAGGCACGCTGGTGTCTTTTATACCCACTTGTCTTTTATATCAATGTCTCTTATAAAGAGGTTCGACTGTATTGATAGAACGTCATTGCTGCGGTCTACTCTATGAGTTGCCGAGCTTGTTTGGGGGGTGTAAAAAAAAGTCTGAGGCTGTTGAGTGGCCCTTTAAGACACTTCTCTTTTTCATTAATAATCCTATTGTATTTTTGGGACACCAAACCTCAGATATTACTACCGTATATACTCGCATAATGATCACACTTTTTTTTTTTCAAAAAAATTGACTCCAACTTCAGGATGCAATCATTATTCAGGGTAAATTTTCGTGAAAAAATAATCTGAGCACCAAAAACGTAAAAAAAGTCGCTAATCAGAATTCTTACGGTAGCTATCAAGAGCATAACCAAAAATAAAAGTAAATTAAGGCTTACCTTTGTAATAAAATGCACGCATTACCCAGGAGCTTCATGGATAGCACACTACCCTTTTATTTTTTACTTCTCTGACCCCTTAACATTCATTCAGACTCATAAGCATCACTTGCGTCAGTGTCGTCGTTGCACGATTCCCTGACGGAATTGGCATTGTCTTCACTGTCCCACAGAGGGTCATCTTCCGTTCTGTCGAGCGCCTTGGAAATGCCAGCGACAGTTCATTCCGTCGCTTGAAGCGTACCGTCTAGCCGGAACTGGCGCGGAAGTCCTTTGTGGCTACTCCCAGCCTCCGGGAAACTGTGCACGCCTGCGTCCGTATCATGTCTAATGACACTGCATGACCGTCTTGCGCATGTCCATCACGTATTCGAGGACTGCCTTTTTAATGTCAGGGAACTTGCCAGATTTGGGTCTGCGGAAAGCCCATTGCGTTCTGTTAGTAGTGATGAGCATGTCGCGCTGTTTTTCCAATATCGGATCCTGATTTCGCCGACGCTGAAATGTCTGCCGGCAGCGCGGTTGCCGTGTTCTAGCGCGTAGTCAAGCGCCTTCAGCTTGAACACGGCAGCAAAGCTCGCATACTGCTCCATGGTGAAATGGTGCTTCAACAGACGATCACAAAGCACACAAAAAAAAGTGGTCTCAAGGAAAAAAAAAAACATTGCTGTGGGATGAACACGGATCGACCAACAGGCGGCCGCCGCTGTAACAGTGCGGGATGTCAGAACAAACACGGCGGCTGCCGGAGCGAAGCACTCCGTGGAACGAAGCCATCACATTTTTTTTTTTTCTTTGCATCAGTTATGGAGGTTGTGAGTACGTCACGCGCGTCAAAACAGTTTCTTCCATCTAAATAAAGAATGCTTTCATTTAAATCAGTAAATATACGGCATTAGCATAGGGATGCCCGCTTTCAGATCACAAAAACAATTATAGGCGCGTTCAGCTAGACTTGGCACGTGACATGTCGATGCCGCAAGTTGAGGGTGGGATCGTTACACGGGGGAAAAAAAAGACGAATTTAGACGACAAAGTTTTTATTGGTGCGATCATTATGCGAGTGCGATCATTACACGAGTACATACGGTATATGAGCTTGAGTGAGCTTTGTAAAAAAAAGATGTAGTGAGACCTTTATATTACGAACTCGTTTATTTTGCTATTCCAATTATTTGAAAGAATTCTCGCTGTCTTCGTATTTTCTAATGCGAATTTGACTGGGTACTGGTTTGTGCCAGCCTCGTTGATGAGAAGGTTTTGGATTCTACCCTGTAGACTGCTGATAAAGGGAGCAACAACAGTCATGAAAATCCACACTATAAGTGGCAGCACTTTAAAACCAAAACAAACTTTTCCAGACGCTGCACAAATACAAAGCACGTTGAACAAGCAGCCACATCCGTCCAGCAATTGTATGCATTCAACTGTGTTGTTCACATTGCGAAATCTTGAAACTTCCTAGAAGCTGCACTGCTGGCAGTACAAATGCAGAGCAAAGAGAGCTAATGTAAGACAGTGCCTTTGCGTAAAGTTGCCGAACAACTTCTAAGACCTCCTCAATTTCAAAGACTTCACCACATAGAATCGAGCTGCACAGAAACGACATATGGGTACCGAAATTCCACGCAATATGCATTACAGTAGATTCTCAGTAAACGGAAATCTATTAAACGGAACTACTGCTTAAGGGGGCACACGGGTCTTTGGGGCCGAAAAATTGCCCAAAAACGCATTTTTTTTAGATGTTATTTTTGAAATCTACAAGTATTTTTCTATTAGTTTGCTCAGTTTATCCTCCGAAAAGTTGGTACTTGAACAGTAACAGCTACTTATAAAAGCCGTACGGGCCCGATTTGGTGAGATTCTGACGCCAAAATGGCAATTTTTCAATAATTCCCCGCAGCTGCGCCACGGGCAGTATCGCAGTGATCTAGGTCTCATTTGAAAGCGCGGTCTTTGGTCTTCAATTTCCCGCCACTCTGTCTCCTGTCCGCTCATTGGTAGAGTAGAAAACACGCGCCAAAAAAAGCAAAAATATGCGTTCCTATTCGCCGGCGAGCGCACGTGACTAAACAGCGCAACGCGATTGGCCGCAAGCGGCGTGTGTCGTCTGCTTCGCGCCGTCGGCGGCGCAGTCAGGCGCCATATTGCTCGAACTGAGAACGACGGATTAGCCAAGGATCGCCAAGGATGTGGAAAGCCGGAAGGAAATTCCACACAAGGAATCAGTACGGCAAAAAAAGAAAGAAGTCGCTCCTCGAGAACTTCAAAGGCCGTTCCGCGTCAGCGAGGAGCGCTGAACGAGCAAGGGACCCACCTTCCGTGGCCAGCGGCGAGGCCCCTGATAACATAGGCCTAGGACCTCCGCCGCCGCCCGCTCAAGATAACGCATCCGGCAGCGGCCGCGTTCGTCTTGACACAGCAGTGCTGCACCCGTTAGAAGTGGCAGAGGTGCGTCGCAACGCCGAAAACAAGCTGCAAGAGGTCGCTTCAACTGGAGCAACACAACGCAAGTGCGGCCTGTTAGCCGATATCGACGATGCCGCAGCCACGCCGCTGGACGAAACACGGTTTTTGATCGTGAGTTTGGACCAAGTGAACGAACTGATGCGTGCAGTGAAGGGCAAATTGTGCTCCGGTGATGTAAACATCGGCAAAGAGGACAAGGAGTACGGCCTTGCCGTAAAGCTAGTGCTTACGTGCGCGACCTGCGGCGATGTGTCGGTGGCATGGAGCTTGCCGCGCGTTGACGGCGAGAGCAAGGCAAAGCCGTTTGCCATCAATGTTTTGGGCGCGCGCACTATGCAGTCTACTGGCAATCAGCAAACGGCATTCAACGACGTTTTTTCATCGATGAACATTTCTTCGCGCGGCCTGCACAACAAAACGTGGCAGAGCTACGTGAAGACGAAACTGACGCCCGCAGCTGTTCGTGCGGCGGAAAAGCTGACCGCGGAGTGCGCGCGATCG